ATGTGCACTGGAGAAATCCAGTGAAAATAAAAGGTAGTAGGAGCAGAAATTGACTTGCCTCTGCCCTCACTGGTTGTACAGAAGGGGTCCTTTCTCACCTATTTTGCAGCAAAGACAGGGTTTCTGTACAGAAATGTCTGAAGGCAGGAAACAAAGCCAGTTGTGCCCCCTGGGAAGTCTCTGCAATCACCAAGCAAGCAGAAGAGCTGCTTCTCAGGGGAAAGAGTAACTGTGGAGGGAAGAGAAAAGCAGAGAACATCAGAGAAATGCAGAGAATTTCCTGAAGTTCATTATAAATGCATATGCACATTAGGAGGCAATGACACCAGAGTTCACATTTTCAATCCTACATGCTCAAAGGCAATATTCTAACCTTTTTAACCTATCCACAAGTGTCATGATTTGTTAGAGATCTTAGCACCTCTAGCTCCCATCGCTGGCAGAGGGATTTAGGAGTGCTAAAGGTTTCTGAAAGACACCCACAGAAGAGCCCCAAAAACCTGGAGAAGCTTTCTGTGAAAGTACTCTGTGATCCCCTGACTACCCATACAGCCTGTAAGATTATCCATAGCTTCACAAGGGAGCGAGAAACTCACAGGAGATTTCCATACATTAAAAATTTATGTTTCTAGAGAAGGGAGTTCACTCTGGGAGTTTTCATACCAATGATAAAATTACATAAATGAGTTTCATGTCCCACTCTGGTGATGCTGTTTCTCCTTAAAATAGCTGCTCAGACTCTGATGTTACTCTCTGAAGCAGGCAACTGAATGAGTTTGGAGTACAAGAGATTTTGGTGCTGTGATGCAAATAGAGACATCACCTCCTCTTACAGTGACTAGTAGGCACAACTGACATATCTGGGCATCTGAGGCCAGAGCTAAGAGATGCACAGGGAAATCCATCACTCCTGTTTCTGTATGCATTTGCATTGCCTAACACAGGGACAACCACACAACCAGGAATTATAGTAGGATGTGGAACTAGTTTTGTTCAGCTCCTTTTTTTTTTCTTTTTGCCTTTTTTTTTGTTAACTAACAGCAAAAGGACATAAGTGCAAACAGTACATGAGGACTACTTAGAAACGGGGTAGAAGCACCTGCTGCTGCCTAAGCTGCCTTCCTATAGCAGAGCTGATTCCCTGTTATTCTCACAAATGCAGAAGGGATGCTGTTGCTTAGGCTACTTCACTGTTTGGTATGGTTCACAGTGTTCAATCCATTTCACAGTTAAATAACAAAATCTAAATCTTCAAATACTGCATCAAAATGTTACTGGTAATAAAGAAAAAATACATTCTTTTTAACATTCCTTGGGGAAAACAAATCTGGAGAAACTGTGTTCATAAATCTCCCCCTTCAAATGCAATGTAAAATCCTTTCTATTTTTCTCGAAGAAAAAAGAGCCACTGACAAAATATAGGCAACTGTTGCTAGCTTTTTATTTCCACACGGAGCTGCTCTTCTTCATATTTTTGAAACAAGACTGCTGTACATACGAATTTCATGGACTGCAGAAGGGAACATTTAAAAGAAGGTTAAGCTGACATGGGGGGCTTCCTGAGAAGAGCCCCTGTACTTGTTTCCAGACAGGATTACAGCTAAATCAGAAATAATGCCCTTTAGCAAGTGGACACATCTGCAGCCATTGGAAAACCTGCCTCTTCAAAAGCTGCAATTTTCCAAATTGGTAACATTGACAATAATATGTAAAAGCTACTATAGTTTTCTAGAGGCTAATTATGAACAGGTGATGATTTGAGGAAAAATTCAGAAGTCAAATATTGAGCTCAGTTTGAGCTCATTAAGGTTGCTATTCAGCATCAGTAAAATATTCATAATCTACAAACACGGTGTAGTTTATATAAACCTGCTTAAAAAAAGATAACTTCAAGTAAAATGGAACAGATTTTGATTTAATGTGTTCTCCTTTGTATGCAAATTACCTCCAAGCAGTTAATAAAGGTAAACGTTGCTAACTTATTTAGATATATGTGGCAGCCTCTATGGGTTATATTTATATCTTGTGAACTCCACCAATGTAAAAAATACATCAGGCCTGAGTTTAGGCAGTGAAGGCTGAGGATACTGCAGACTCTGAGAAGAAAGAATAAGCAAAGACAGGGTCTCTCTCCTCTTCTGGGGAAGTACTATGGAAATGTTTACTTTGCATGTGAAAAGAGATGCAGATAGTACTTCAGTGGAGCAGTTAACGCCGACTTCTTTAAGAAAACCTCGATTTTATTCATGTGTCTGTATATTTTGGACCCCCCTGTAGAGGAAAGAACCAGGATGCAGTACTATCTTCATGTAACAGTGGACAAGCGGAGGCAAAAATATCTACCCAAAAGGGCTTGCAACTACCCCAGTGGGCACTTGGCCCTATCCCACGAATGTGATGTGAGACTTCAACAGTGATTTTCTGACTTGGTGATGAAAGTTTTACCAAACGAGCCTTCTTGAGATAATATTTTTTTTTTACTGTGTCTGAAAATACACATTTTCTTATCTAGTGCTGACATCATCTGATAAATTCTTTGCTACAGGTAAAAATAACAGTAGAAGGATGTTTTTCACATATTTCAAGGGTACTACATTGCTATTTTTCTTCACTGTTCACCATAATAGCCATTTGCTAGTTTGAAATTAAAATTTGTTCCTTTACTGATTATTTTTCTCTGTATTATGCAGGTTGCTAATGAGTGCCAGGCTGCTGGCATGGCTTTATTTATTTATTAGAAAGAGAAGAGCACTGAAGCATTTAAAAGTCACATACACAGAGCCATAAAAAATTTTTTTTGTGGTGACACATTATAAGACAGAAATAAAGTTAGGTCAAGATATAGGTGTACTGAACTTTGCAAACTCTTTATTTCGTCTGGGTGGAAAACAGAATTTTCTTTACTGTGTTGGAACTGACAAACCACGAGAATCTTTAAGTTGTTAAACCAGCTCTAAGTAGTTTAAAATGACTGTGCCCAAACTGCATTACATTAGTAAGGGTTGCAATGATCCTGTTTCACACAAACCCAGCTGGGGAAGGCATATATGGTTTTCCTCTTGCGTGCTACTAGTTTTTGGAAGAATATTAAAAATAAAATTTGAAGACCAAACCACGTTGACTGTTTCTTGGGGCATGTAAGTCTGTGATTACTTACTTTTTCCTTTTAATTTCTGTCAGCCATTCTTGGTTAATTAACCTATTTGTTCTCGTATAACAGAATGACAAAGCATTCGTAAATTGTGTGATTCCTGTGTGAGAAGTTCTACCACGTTATTAGGCTTATCACTTAAGTAGAAAAGACAAAAAGAATGTACTGGGTTGGATGTGTTTTTAAGCAAGAGAATTAGTCATTCCTTAGGCTGCAGCAGCTGCCTTAGGAGAAAAAGGCGATTGTTATATTTTGCATTACTTTCTTTAAAATACCAAAAACATATCATAAAAAGCTATTTGTAGATATTCTCTGGACACGTCTGGTTCTATTCAGGGGCTTTATTGGGCAGTTTTGGCCGCACTGCCTGGTCTTTCTCCTAAGAAATGTCAGCAAAGTCCCTGAATTAATGGACTGTGAAGTGCTTAGAAACATACCGTTTCACAAAAGTATACGGCGGGGATGTGACACTAATGGGAGGTGACCCGTGGGTTTATGACAAAAGAGTCCACTCTAACAACAACAACAACAACAAATTAATACGGCTTCTATGCACAGTAGCTTTGAACAAAGCAATATACAGTGGGAGGTGAAGAAAAGTAGAATAAGGAAAAACTGATCAAGAATAAGATTTGTAAATTATCTGGTTATGCCCGGGTTTGTTATCTTCAGGAGAAGAAAGCTGCAAACTCCAGGGTAAAGCAAATTAAAAAGACAAGGCTCCATTGTAATTGGGTAATTGGAGAAGGAAACTTAGTAGCATTTGGAGCGATGTTACATGAACTTAAGTGGTAAATTCCTGGATTTGCTTACACAGATTTATTTTCTTTTAATTTTACTGCTTAAAAAAAATAATATATATATTAAAAAAATTAAAAAATGCAGTGCAACTCCTTCAATCTTTTTGCAATTCTGCATGGTTGAACATTTGAAATGAGTTTGTGTATCACCCTCAGGCATTGATTCAGACTTGATTGGGGCAAAGCAGACTCCATGTGCTTATTTTTATACACGTCATTTGGGAAGTTATATAGCCAAGGGAACAGAAAATGTGTTGCTCCACTGCCAAATTATCCCATATCCCTCGATCAAAACGGGAGGTGATCCTAATCAACAAGTTGTGCGACCTTAGTGCAATGGCAATGTCAGGTCAACTCGGGAAAGTGAAGAGACAGATCTAAATACAAATAAAAAGAAAGAGAGAAACAGAAAGAAAGAAAGAAACAACCAACAATCCTTATAATTATCATCATCTGCTGCTTTTCCCTCTTCTGGCAAAGAAACACTCCATCCATTTGCAGAAATCGCCCGCGGAAACGTTACATCAAAACTAATCACAACGATTAAAATCAGCTTTTCTGTGCAAGAGGAGAGTAAAAAGCAAGTTGGAGGCTGGAATGAGACTGTTTTTTCCAGCAAAAAATCCGAAAAAAAATACACTCGATATATATATATATCTATCTATATATCTTTCTATATGCACGTTTCGAAGGAGATCAATTTTATGCCCGTGTGATCAGTTAATTTAATTTAACTTTTATTTCGGAGATTGATTCAGACTGGAGGTAGAGACATGAGCTAATTGTATCCTGATCCTTGCCTTGAGGGGTTTCAAAGCCCTGGAGCAACTATTCTCTGTATTTTGCTCTGTCTACCTTAGCCAAGCTATTGCATTTCTCTCTGGTGTAGCGAGGAGAGCAGACCGCTGCCGGGAGAGAGAAATATCGGAAGTGTGAGTTGGGAGGGGGCGAAGGGGAGAACGAAAGGGGGGAAAAAAAAAAAAAAAAAAGGGGGGGGGGGGGAATTAAAAAAAAAAAAAAAGAGAGAGAGAGAGAGAGAGGGACACTGTCGGCTCCGATGTTCCAGGTAAGGGCTGCTCGGGATTGTTGTTGTTTGCAGCGGAGGGTGCGGAGGGACTCGGGCGCCGCTCTCGCTTCCACGCATGTGCCGGGCGCTCGCTCCCCGCGCGGGGACGCGGCGCGGCCGCCTCGCCCGCCGCGCTCCCCCGCGCAACCCCCGCGCAGCGCCGCGGGGAGGCGGGCGGGAGCGGGCAGGGAGGGAAGGGGGGAGCCAGGGAAGGAGGGAGCGAGCGAGGGAGGGAGGGGGCTGCGCGGCGGGCGGGGGGCGCCTACTTTCCCCGCCGCCGCTGCGAGGGGGACTCAGGCGGCGGCGTGTGCGGGGCGGGCGGAGGGGTGCGTTTAATTCAGAGGCGTGTGTTTCCGCGCGGGGGTGCGCGGCCGGCATTGTTCTCCGGCGGGCTGCAGGAGGGGGCCGCCATTGTGTCTCTGTGTGTGTCTCTGTGTGTGGGGGAGCGAGAGCGGGAGGCACCTTCCCCCCATGGCCGCGGCCCCTCCGGAGCGCCCCGCGGCGCCCTTTGC